AATTATTTCAATACGTCTTCATGTACGGACAAAGTAAATATGTTAATAAAATGCAATACTGAGAAATATTGTATTGCATTTGTCATTTTCCTATGACCAATTTTAATTTTTAATCATGTCCTTTTATATAAGAAAAAATAATAAAACCATTTCTTCTTTTCCTGCATAGCACAACACACCCACTATTAAGCTAAAGGTTTTCCTGATAGCTTCAACTTAATATAGTTTCGATGTGCACGCTGCTCCACATATGAAATGGTTATCTCGAACTTTTGGCGTCTATAGTTGCTCACGTTATCCCTGCATATGTAAAGTCCTATCAGTTTTTAGTGATGTTAAATTACTCCACACTGTGGTCTGATGAAAGTTAGTAGGTGCCCGCTTGTGTGAGTGTGTGCAAGTATGCCGTAGAGTCTTGGATGCGGGGGTGCTGAGCTCACTTTGACAACAATTTAATATAACTCCAACTGACCGTCGTAAATATTCCCATTGGTAGCGATTTTTTTTGTTGGAATTATTTTTGACTGAATAAAAACTGAATGGGAAAGTGAAAAAGTCCTTGCTAAAATACCAGAAAAATGCTAACAACAAAAAATGTGTATAATAAGAAGAGGGAAAAAAGAAATTTTGCTGGAAAGCCGCAAATAAAGCGTAAGGCACATTGTCCTGTTGCCATACAAGCTCAGACTGACGATGAGCGGTAATATTGTTGATAGGAGAATTGTAAAGCATTTGCTTCAAAACGCAAATGAAGCGTTCCTGCTGCAGGCAAAATGCCGATGGGTGCAATTTACTAGAAAATATTGGTTTCTTTATGTTATCGTATACTTTTTAAGTTTCTATTATTCCTTTTATTATATGCATTCCATATACTACATATATATATGCGAGTACATATATATATATTTTTTTATAATAGTTATGATTCTGCTGCTTCTGCTGCTTCTGCTGCCTGTCCAGCTCTGACAGTTTAATGGTTTTAAAGCCGCAGAAAATGTGAGCTGTGGAAATGCACATTTTTTGCTGTAATAGCTGCTTTCTATCTACTCGTGGTATCTAGTAGATATAACGTCGAGTAATGTAAAGAAAAAAGCACTGAATTGCATTACTTAACAAAACCATTTTACCGAATCGCATGGAAACTGACAGCAAATCGCCAAACTCTTACTGCAACATTGAATTTGATTATATGGAAACGTTTTTTCCGCCTTGAAAAAGAGTTAACAATTTTTCAAATAAAATTGGAACAGTTGTAGTTCTTAGCTTTACGAGGGAAGCGTTTAGGAAATTGACGTAGGGATAGAAGAAGCGATACGGAAGAAAACATGAGTGCTAATCTCAAAACCCTCCGTAGTAATTTGGAGTTTTTTTTACCAACATGAGAAAAAAATTCTCCTAAAGAGAATGAACAAAAAAATAAGAAAAATGTGAACATTTATAAAACACATTTTTTATAATTCGCGTAAAGCCATTCTAACTTTCATCATAAATTAAAAATTTACATTACTTGATCCGCCCTACAACATTTTCCCAACTATCAGTCTTCTATGCGAAGATATAATCTATCTATCTTCTATCTTCATCTATGGCATAGAATGATAGATTTAGAATCTATCATATGCCATAATCCACCAATAAGTCACCCCTCCAATACCTAAACTCATTTTTCTCAGTAGTAAGTATATTGTAATCCATGATTTCCATTGATACTCGAATGAGACTCGCAGTACTTTCACTCAACCATACCTTCTTCATTGCCAAGCGGTAATTGCTGTGGCCTTCATTGCTTTATGTAGAAGTTGAGGAAGAAAGCAAATACATAATCTAACTAAGACCGTTTGAAGACCGTTTTACAAGTTTCCAACTTAAAGCTACTTTTATACATTCAGCTACTACTAACATAAGATTAAAACGAAGGACTTAAGTAAGAAGTATTATAAGAGAAGATATTGCAGTTAACGCGTGGTCTAGGCATCCTTATACGTTCATTAATGATAAAAACGTAAAGTAATTAAACAGATTGATCTTATCAATCAAAAAGTAATTATGAATGATGCTGCTGAAGAAGTAGCAATTTCCTTCTGCCCATAAGAAGTGATTTGGGTTATACAACATTTCATCTAACCAAAATGGGTGTCTTTATTGAACAAAAGCATAAAAAGCTATCATATAATGCTAAAACAATATTGGGAGTGTTCTATTTTATATCTTTGATCCTCTCTTAATTGATTTTTGATCTTCTATAAATTGATCTCTCATCCTCTTTGAACTTTGAGGTGGTGATGACTATCAAATTCGAATGGATCAAGCAGTGCGAGCTTTATCAAAAGTCAATGATAGCTGAGTCATAAATTAGCATCCAGCAGTTTCACTAGCTTGCTCATGGTATGAAGTTGGAAGACGATATTTCAGCTAAAAAGGCATGCGGAGAAGAAAACATAAGAGAGGTCCGTGTCGCCGCCGGAGTGTTAAAGTTTATGGAGTGTTCTGGAGAGAAATGATTCATTAGATTGAAACTCGCAAACGAGTTGTTATGGCCAATTAAGTAAGTTATTAAGAAGCAGTTTTCATTCTTTGATTAACAAGGCTTGGAACACTTTTATCAGTAATCTTCACTAAGAAATGTGTATGATAATATGTAAAAAATCTATTTATAACCATAAAATTAGAGATCTAAAATATAGTATTTACTTATTGTGGAATTCATATTATGACAGCTTTTTTCGCCGGAAATATATAAATCATATAAATCAGAATTTACAATAAAATTATTTCTTTCTATCAGTGGAAGATTGTGCAGTTTTCATAGGTCATTAAGATAGTAAGATCATCCAAAGACTATCTGGGTTACGATTTAACTAACATATAACTAAGGTATAACTTATTTTGATTCCATAATCATCAATACATTATCCGACATTTGTTACCCTTTTCTACTTTCCCTTTCTAGTAAGCGTCTGTGACTTCTAAAAATTAGTTTCTCGAGAGACTCTAGTTCATAAGTAAACTCTATGAAATTATAAACAATTTTTTATGATATTTTTACCACTATTAATGGTTTAATTATCTATACCTGGCAGTAGTTCGACTACAACATCTTACATTAGTACACATGATTCATTTTGAGGATTTTCGCTTCACGACTAGCTTTTCTAGAAAGTATCTAAGCTATATAAAGACTCGTTGTTATAATAAAATATAAAAATATAAAAATATATAAATCAGTTTACACATCATATAAATGTTTAATCTCATTATACAATATTATAGATTATTGAACAAAAAATTTTCGTTTCAGTTTGATGTCAAATTAAAAGCTAACAAAGAAAAACTCTCATAGAGCTTTCACAGAACTTTCAAACACATAAAAAAACTTTCATATACATAAATTAACTTATGCCAATGAAAACGACCAAATGTTGATTTGATTAACATAAATTGCTTTAGCTGCAGTGGGAACATGGTGTAAGATCTTTAGAAATATGATGTTGTTTTAAATCAGAAAATGCCGACAATTAATGAAAATTTTGTGAAATTAAGAAAAGTTTAAATATAATTAAATAAATTTATTACTTCTCGCACTTACCTCGTAAGCAAGTCACATCAATTGTACCTTCTCTCGCAAAACATTCGTCCGCTTCATTTTATTTTGTAAAAGACAACTACTTGCAGGCAATGTCGAAACACAAAAAAAAATTCTATTATGTTGCTGATGTATGCCTGCAACAGCAACAGCAACAGCAAGAGCAACTGCAACAGTACCGCCAGCAACAAAATGTGCAACGACATCGTGGGATTGTGCGATTGTGCGATTGTCAAGTTGTTGTTGATGTCTGACAATTTATCCTTGTTGCTAAACTCATCGACTGACAATTTTTTTATCCTTTTTCCCGCAATTGTTATTGTTATTGTTGTAGTTGTAGTTGTTGTTGCAGTTGTAGCTGTAGTTGTAGTTGATGGTGCGTGGCAATCCACTGAAACGTGGTCAGAGTCATTCAAGTGAATTCAATGGTTGAATAAGCTTTCGTAAATAAATGCAATAATAAAAATTAAAAAAAGATTCCAGCAAACAACAGAAAAAACTGCAAACGTCACCATGTCTAGCGCGAATTGTTTTTGTTTATTGTTTCGACAACGCCAACGCCAAAGTGCTGCCTAAAGTGACGAGGTTTGACTGTTAAAAACAAATTACAACGAAACAAAGGCCCCAAAATACATTAACAATGAAAAAATAAATAAAACAATATTGAATAAAATAATCTAGATCAAACAACGCCAAATTAATGGTGAACCGAAGGAATACTGTATATAGAAACGGAAGCTTCCATTATTGCAATACGAGACAGGGTAATCAAGACCTCGAGGATACTTTCATAGATTTCATAGAATTTATAAGGAAAATGTTTCCACTATTGCAATATGAGACAGGATAATTAAAACCTCAGAGTAATCAAGGCCTTAAGGATACTTTCATAGATCAATTGATAAGGAAAATGCTTCCACTATTGCAATACGAGACTAAACAGTTAAGAACTCGAGGATACTTGCATAGATTTCATAGAATTTATAAGGAATATGCTTTCACTATTGCAATACGAGACAGAATAATTGAGACCTCGAGGATACTTTCATAGATTTCATAGACCAATTGCTTCTACTATTGCAATACGAGACAGAATAATTGAGACCTCGAGGATACTTTCATAGATTTCATGGATCAATTGATAAGGAAAATGCTTCCACTATTGCAATACGAGACAGGGTAATTAAGGCCTCAAGGATACTTTCATAGATCAATTGATAAGAAAAATGTTAAGGATAGATTACTTGTATGTAGAGTGTAGATAAGAACAACTGAGAGTGGTACAGAAAGCAACTATTCAGCAACTATCAAACTATTCTTCTATTAGTCAACTTTGATGTTCTCCTTATAAACGCTAACATATTGCAATGCTTGTAAAAGTAGTTAAATATATCATTCAAAACAAAACAATAACAAATTAACTTTTTGACTTTCACAATTTATGTAATGCAATGCAAATTCTTTACATACTTACAGAATAAGATTTAAATGTATAAAATGCAGATTATAGGGTGCAAAAAAACATTTCTCTACATTTTAATTACTTGGCGAATTTGTGTCTTGGGAAGTCGGAGTAGAGATTTTACTGGATGGCTCGGTTTCTGTTACTTGACTCGATATTTCAAAACGTCCACCCAAGTTATTGACATTGTCCAACCACTTCTGAATTCTCTTCAACTTATTTTCCGGAATACGACTGCGAGCGCATGTGGGCTTTTCAACAGGAGCTTCTTGGTTTTTAGTTGGAGTTGGAGTTTGTGCACATGGAACGGATGTTGCTTTAGCGCCTTGGTCGTCATTTTCAATACCGTTGCTGTTAATAGAATATGTGTAACTACTACATATATTTTTTTAAATTGAAGCATACATACTTCTCCAACTCTAGTTCTGGTTCTACTCCTTCTTTAGTATTGTGCGAAGGACATTGTTCGGGTTCCTTAAATTCTTGATCGCCAGTTGCCATGTCGGATATTTAACAAGATTTAAGCGCTATAAATATAAATTGTGTTCAAGAACGAGGTTTTATCACACTCTTTTTCTTGATCCAAATTTTATGTGATTTTTTTATTGATTTGAATTTTTTTCTCTAAAGTAAATTTTGGTTAAAAATTAATTTCTTTTTTTTGTGAGTATTTTAAAATGACAACAAAATCAAAAAATACTATTTACTTTGTTTTTTTAAATTACTTCAAATAAAATTAAAGGCAATTATTAATATTTAATGTGTTTCCATGAAGATTCAGAAAGAGACGAAAATTCAAAGAGGTTTGAAGGATTAGAGACTGAAAATCAAGACGCTTTGATATTACATCCCTTAATGTGTAATGAACTTTGTATAAATTTTATTTTAGTATTATTATTCTTTATTATTATTTTTTATTATTATTAGTTATTATTATTTTTTATTGTTGTATAAGCTCTCTGACTGCAGCTATTGATGTTGACATTAGGGAGTAGTAGTGGCTTCACAAATGTATTGAAGAATATATTTAATGGGAATTTAATGAACTATCCATATATATTTTAAAAAAAAAAATTTATTTAATAATAAAAAATATTTAGTTCTTAAAATCATTTCATGGGCACTTGAAAGACTTAAGCCCGTTGACTATGAGTCTGGGGTTGGGTTAAGCACTGGTCAAGTTAATTGCACTTGGTGAGGACCTGCTTTGAAGATGACAAAATATATTTGAATGTAAATGTAAATTATCTTAAATAATTGAAACAAAGAGTATTTATTTAAACAAAATTATTCTATATTATATTATTAAAAAAACATTGGAGTTGCGTTCATGAAAATTAATTAGTTAATTATATGTTTAAGAAATTAAATAAAAAATAATATAAATTAATAATGTATCAAATATTATTAAAAATTAATTATAATTATTTTTAAAATATGAATTGAATGAAAATCATAAAGGAAACAAACTTAATTAAAATTGCACTTCATTTCTGCACAAAGGCGTGAAAACCATAATTAATTGCAATTGATTGAAATTGAATTTTTTAATTAGAGAATCACTCGAAGCACTTGTAAAAGATATCTAAAATCAGAATCCTTCTAGCACAATTAGCGCTTTTCGACTGTTTGAGTATTCATTGCCTGAATTTGCTTTCTTCCACGCGGAAGTGTCGGGAAATTGTGAGAAGCAGCGCTAGGCCAAAGAAAAATGTCCTTCAAGAAAGGAAGAAAAACAGTTAAAAAATTTTACGCTAATTGAAATAAAATTAAAAAGTTGGCACGATTAGGCGAGAATGAATTTGACTGGCAGGCATTCAAGACCAGTAATTACACAAGCAAATTTTACACTCATTTTGCTTTGTAAGTTACAATTTGCATATTTAATTGGATACCAGAAATCAGCCCATTAGAGAGTACATCCTGCTTGAATTAAAGAAATAGACACAAAAATTGTTTGCTACAAAAAAAAAAAGTGAATAACTTTAAATAATTATTTATATATTATTTAAATAATTATTCAAGTTTGATTTTGATGTTAGTGACTATCTATTTGGTAGGGCATGAGCTTGACCCTTGGTACTTACAGTCTCAAAAAATTATTCACGAATAATAAAATATAAGAATTAATTCCAAGACCATTGATGATGGGTATCTATCTGACAATACTCGAAACAACTCTAAAATAACAATAAAATAATAAAATAATAAAAATTTTGTTAATGTAATTCACTACTATTAGATGAAAACCTCTCTAATAAATATTTAAGTTAATTTTAAAATTATTTTTTCATATATTTTTCTAAAATAAATATTAAATATTTATATAAATATTTTTTTTGAAATTAATTTTGCATATTTTTTTAAATTATTTCATAACCCTTTTTAATATAAAACATTATTTACAAATTAAAAAATTAAATAGTAGTGGTGACATAGATCGATGGAGACATCGGCAATCAATGTTATGTTGGTACAGCCTCTCTTGACATATGATACAAATTTGAGTGCCATCTGTCAATTAGTTTCTTTGCAGCAGCTGTTAATGTGAGACTATCTCAAGTGCATTTATCGATTTTTACTATGGAAAATTCTTGTTGCACTCAATTTTTGGTCCAAATATGGCACCACTGTCATCGCACTGTCAGGCAACATATTCGCCAGATCTAGTGCCGTGCGCTTGCCCCTTCGTGGTAAGCGTTTTGAGTCGAATGAATCGGTAAAAGAGAATTCGCCGAAGGAACTAAAAGCCATACCTGACAACCATACGGGCCTACGAAAAGTGTATGGAAGATTGGGTTTAGCTTTGGCATATGTATATCGCTTCAGAAGGAGCATATTTTGAAGGAGATAAAATAAATTTGGAATAAAATTTAAATTTGTGTGTTTTATTTACAAAATCCGGGTACTTTTTGAGCTAGAGGTATTATTATTTATTTAGATTTATTATCAATTATTTATTTAGATTTAGCTTTAAATAGCACTACTGAAGCACAAAAAAAAGTGAAATGAAGATACTTTCATTTGGTTTCTGCTCGCAGAGCTATTTCTTTTTATCTGTGTAGATTTTATATATTTATTTGCACGGTCCCGTCTACCACGTTTCTTAGAAATAACTGCAACAGAAGTAGAGCTCGGTGGGGTGAAAATTAAATTAATCACTAAACATGGTTTGTAGTTAAATATATGGAATAATGTTGAAGTACCCACAAAATCTTATGAATCCCATTACGGTTGTCATGTTTTCAAATTTTCAATGCATGTTTTGAATAGATTTTGATATATCTCTTTAAGATCGTAAAGAAATCTACGACATTAAGACATTTATTCTATGATTGTAACAAAATCTATGACTTTAAGACATTTGCAGAGTTGCATAGAGAAATAATCATCATTTTGAAGGAGATTTAAAACTAAAGGAGATTAACTTTTATGTTGGAAATCTGAGATTAACAACGAGGTTAGTACTTTTAATCACACAATGTAAACGCCATATAGTACGGTCTGTGTCATTACAACGTCTTGGCGCCGTTCGCAGAAGCTTGAACGGAGTTTCCAAAGATATTTGTGAATTTTGTTTGATAACAAATGCTTTCATCATTGCGCTATCTATGTCTCAACTATTTAACACAAGTAAAGACAATTTCCCACTATTTCTAAAGTTTCTTTACTTAAAGCTTTTTCATGTCTTTATTCGTATAAATGAACATTCGGATAAATATTTTTCTCATACAATTAAAGACCGTAATATTAATATTAATTACGGTCTTTATCAAAAATTTTTATTAAAGCTTTTCAAATATCGTCAGTGATGATCGTAATAAAAACCTCTATTCACAAAAATCGTAGAATAAAAGTTGTTTCTGATTTGGGTCTGCGCTTTGAGTATTTATACGTACAACCATCACTTCAGAACTGTTTTTTGTTAGATGGCGCAGTAAAAATGTTTGATTATTACTTAATACAAAAATTATATATATATTTTTTTCTTTTTATTATAGTTTTTATTTTATAGTTTTGGACGTACTGGTTTGCTACTTGAAAATTAATCAGTGTTAGTTGAGTTTTTACTACCATTTACTCAAAAAGAATTATATATAATAATCTTTATAATTGACTTTAAGGAATCCTTCTGACTTCAAGAAATTCACTTATTACTAGTGAACTATAACTATTAATAGAAAATTTTGCTTATTACTAGTTCTTTGCATTATGAACGAAAGAATTCCATATATCATTGAATCTAAGATGGTATTTGATAAATATTTTCCGTGCTTGAATTTGGTGGTTTGTGTCTACACTAGAGTACAAAACATTGCTGACAATGGCGTCATCAAGTATAAACGCCAGTATACAATCTTCGGTACTCATTCAATGATGTATTAACATGTAATTTGTAAATATTTAACATATAAAAAGTAAAATTAACCCATAAAATGAAATATAAGAATCATTAATATATACAGTGTCCGCATTGTAGCAATGGGTAAATATATTGCAGCGCCACCTGTCGACGCATTTTAGCTACCATGGGTTTGAACTTTTGGCGTATGGAGCACAACTTAACGAATTATTCAATAGTTGGCAGGGTCCGTAGCCATTTCACGTTCGCGCTATTTCACGTTCGTGTATTTACTTGTTAAGGGAATTCTTAGATAATAACATGGGTTGTTTTTGGACTAATCAGTAAGAGCCAATTTCGTAACTTAAGTCGTAGCTAAAGTCGTAGCTAAAGGCGTAGCACTGACATAAGTCATGCTTAAGTTATGCTTAACCCGAAATAACCCGCAATTACCATATGGTAATACAAAATAAAACGTTGCATACATATGCATAAGATATATAGTACACCTTCACCTACAGACATACCATATAGCAACGCAAGTGTTTCACATTTTCCAAAAAATGTCAACACGAATCAAGAGATTGACCTCATATTCCTGCTCAGGAAGTCAAAATATTCTAATATAACATATGTCTTATTAATAAAATCTGCGACAAAAAAATTCTGGGCATTATCGGAATTATGTCATGCTAAAGGTATCGGTTTTGCTCACATAATTCATACTTCAGTTAGTACTTCACTTATGATTGTTAAATCGGTTCTAAATAAACGTTGCACAAGTAATAATTCTCCTCGACTCTTAGGGTCAATTGCACCCTAATTGCATCGTAACTGTATGCTTAAAAATAACTTAAGTATGAAAATTTTATGACTAAACTTGCCGTATAAATCTACGTATTAAATATCTGGATCATTATCATTTTTTAGTTTACTTTGAAATTAGAGAGAATTACTTTGGTTAGTATATTAAAGCGCGGTAAGAAGATTATAATTTGTGAGGACTAGAAGTATAAACCATTTAAAGCCATTAGAGATTGGTTGGTTGTTTGTTTGGTTGCAGTAACAGGTGTGCAAATAATCTTCCAAAGCCTATTATAAGCAACTATTCACCATTTTGCTACCACATTCCTCACCAATAAAGATAGTAGTAGGTATTGTACGTCTTGATGATGGTAATTTAAATCCCAATTCTGTAAAAACTACTTATATTAATTAGTTATCGACTGATTTCAATTATTAATTTAGATTTATAGCATTTATTTTGATTTTAACACAATTGTAGTGCTTTAAATAGCACTACTGAAGCACAAAAAAAAGTGAAATAAAGATACTTTCATTTGGTTTCTGCTCGTAGAGCTATTTCTTTTTATCTGTGTAGATTTTATATATTTATTAGTACAGTCCCGTCTACCGCGTTTTTTTAGAAATAACTGCAACAGAAGTAGAGCTTGGTGGGGTGAAAATTAAATTAATCACTAAACATGGTTTATAGTTAAATATATAGAATAGTAACGCGGAATGTACTGCTTGCATTCAACATTCGAGCTTTCCACCACGACATTTATAAAAGGTAATGAAGCCTTAAATTCAATCCAGATTCCAAATCTTCTCTTTAGAAATATATGCATGCTTGGGATAACATACTACACAGATGAAAGTCATGTGGATCTTTTAGTTTGATTGTACTCGAAAGAGTTAGAAATATGAATTAAAATGAGAGTTTTGGAATGCAGATTGCAAAATTAAAGAATTAAAGCATTTTAAAAGTTTGAAGCTCGTTCCACTTTGCTAAAGTACTACACTTGGAATATTAATTAAGTGGAAGTTTTAGTTAGTTTAGTTAGTAAGTGGTGCGAACCGAATCTATTATAAGTTATAGCTCCTTGCACTGTGCTAAAGAGTACACTTAAAACATTTATTAGGAGAGAGGAAAAAACGTAGTAAGCACCCATACTAAGTTTTTAAAATATGTTTTTGTTGGAACCTTGGATGAACAAAGTCCTTAACAGATATATATCATTTACGAAATATCTACCAAAAGATAAAAAACAATTTTCAAAATAAATTTAATATTTTGGAGAATTATTTATTAAGAATATAGGTATGGCATATTATATATATAATTTAATTATTATTTAAATGTTATTTAATACTTCATATCAATTTGTATAAAAGTTGTATGTAAATTACTTTCCATAAGAAATAAGTTTTTTGATAATTCGCTTTTCGACATCATTGTTTTGATTTTTGCCCAATTTAATAATGGATTTCGACCGTGTCTTTTCGAGTTCACTTTTTTCTTCGAAAATATATGCGAACACCTCAGATAGCTCCATATAGTAGTTTCTGAAAAAAGTTGTCATGATGATCTTAGCAACATATTTAACATTTTTACTTCGATGGCTCAACAAAGGAGTAACACCCTCTGCCACTCTATGTTCCTGAAGATAAGAATCCAATTCTGATTTCTTTTTATACTTGCACATCATACCGTAAATACAGAGAAGTACCTTAACGAGAAAACGCGGTTGCTTATTGATTTTAAGTATATTCATAAAAGTGCTGATAACTTCGACTTTCAGTAGAAAGTCAATATGGCTTTGTATACCACATTTGATGACGTCGTAAATAATGCAGGTGGCCTCATAGCCAACGTCTTTTTTCTTATAGAACTTATGGTAATCCACATGCTGTACTACATTATTATATACTCCAGCCTTGAGAATATCTCTTATGTAGAAGCAACCCAATTCAGTGAAATTTCTAAGCAACTGAAGGCAGTACAACGAAACCACGTAGTTATCGATTTCGAGAAAGTTCTTGATATATTTCAGCAATTCTTTATTGAATATTTTCTTTGCCAGGCTTGTGGATAGCGATGATAGTGCAATATATATGAGCAAAACAACACAACAGAAGTTGTGTGTAGTTTCAGTTTCCGCACGAAGCAAGTTGAGCAGTTTTTCTATTGTTCCAGATTTGATAATCGCGCGTTCCATAAGTTCATGATCATTAGAAGCGCATTGAAAGAATAAAGAGAAGGCGTGAGCGATTATTTTCGCAGTTCTTTGCTTGAACATCAATTTTAAAGAAACTTTAATTAAAATATCTTTCACGGCAGCCTTATTGTTTAAATCATACAAGGCGTAAAGCAGGAAGAGTATGACATCTTCCAACAAGTTGTCCGGAATATGTGCGGTTATGAAATCAAAATTCAAAAACTGTGCAATTGTTAATATGCCTCTTCTTATTCCATCTTCAGTTTGAGCTGAAGAAGTAGCATCCATCATTTCCACCAACATATATGGATAGGGATTCTCCATGCATGATTGTGGTGGAATGGCCATAACCGATGAATTCGACGAATCAAATTCTGCTAATATTTGAGAGGTTAGCTTGGCTGATGTGTCTGGTTCTGTTGAACAAGAGTCTGTTTCGCTTGATATTTCCCATTCATCTTCTATAAAACAAAAAACAAAAAAAATATATCTATTAAATTGGCAATTGGCAATAATAAAAATATAGAATTTAAAAATTCTTACGTCTCATTTCTTTGGTTTGTTTATTTTTTGTTTACTTACATTTTGTCATATCTGAAAAATATATATTAAATTTCGATTATTTCCCTGATGGGAATAATATTTTGAAATGTTGCATTCGACATTTTTGTTGTAAGTTCTCTTGATTTATTCTTAACTAAGTAAAAAGGCACGAAAGCTCTTTGTATGTTTAATCGACTTTCATTGACAACCTTAATGATATAAACTGCTTTGAAAAAGTCAGTGGAAACGTCGCAGTAACAAAGAGGTTTATTACTCCACAAGAGAAATCTGTGATATTTAAGCGAGGGAAGAGGCTAAAGGAAGTAAGATCGCATTGCCCGATGAGATTAAGTCCTCTATTATGGAACGTTGTAAAAATACAATATAATTTTTTAGATATATTGTTGTAATATATCTTAATTAACGTAATAAAATCATATTTATCCCAATCTATCAGTGCGGCTTTCAATAAAAATATAATACTGTGTGACTAATTTCACAGACGAATGAGATATGTACATAGATCGTCGTAATAATAAATATATTGCACTAGCACATCTATAGATATTTCAGCAGCATTTGACCGAGCACGATGCCCTTTAAACTATATAGCAAGTGACTACTTAATTACAAAATATGTTTATAATCTATTCCCTGCTCAATACACTTCTTTATTAAGTATGGAAAGAAATGTACACAATTCCTTGAAGTGCAAGATAGAATGCTTCAAGGTAGTATTATGAGACCAATTAATGTTCTCTAATACAGTAAAATTTCCACTCAATGTTGGAAGGGGAATAAAAACATTTAAGAACTTTACAGAAGTCTTATTCATTGACAGTAATCGACGTAGATTATTTGCAAAACTGCAAATATATTTGAGAAATATGTGTTTTCTTGTGAATGTAAGACAAGCACATCAAATCAAATATAATTAAATGTTAGGACCCTGAAAACTTAGGGTCCCAAATAATATTCATTACATAAAGTTCAAAAACATATTTCAATTCCAATCTACATATATTGTCATTAACAAAATAGAATTCTTACCAGAGGACGCAGGAGTGATCACTTCAGGAGCCACGAACAAGTCCATCTCTTCATCAAGTTTAGCGTCTCTAACAATCTGCGGAATTAAATTGTTTTCATTAATAAAAAAATATATTTTTAAGGTTTTTTGTTAACAAATTAATTTTACCGTTGGTTTATTCATTATAGGTCGAATTTTCTTAGATGCCAAACGCTTGGTCTCTTTAAGTAGGACCATCTTAGCACTCTCCAGTTTAACATCCAGCTCTTTCAAGTACGATTTAGTGCATAGTCTAAAAAATTAATACATAAATTTTTGTGTTCTAATTGAAATTATTATCGACATCAAAATTAAATAAATATAAATCAATTCAAATAATAATATGAAAAAATTGTTAATTAGTTTATAAATAAAATTAACTGCTGTACCGTTCATATGGATATTTTTATTATAAAGCAATTATAAATAAACATTTCCAGTAGATATTTTGTGTTAGTGCTCTTACACTCATTTCATTCATTCATAGTCTTTATTTAACAGGAGTTCAATTTAACAGGAGTTTCCTGTAAAAAATTTAAAGGGATTAAACATTAAATCTTAAAAATTTACGGAGTAGTGCGTAAATTAACAGTCATGTCCACAGATAGCAGAATAGACATAAAGATAGTTGAGCAAAACACATTCGATACATTTTGCTGATATAAAATATTTGTCTAATACCATGTTTCCACTGTCTTATTTAAGCAGTTCTCTTCACTAAGGCAGCTAAAGAGAATAATTTACCATATAAAGAGTTTTCATATAAATGAGTTCATCATAAATAAAGCAACTGGTTTAAAGCGACAAGTGTCGAAAGCAACCCTTAAAAATTAAATTCCCACTAGGGAAATTATCAAAATGTGAAATAGTTGTCATAGATTTTTTTTTGTGAAATGTAAACAAACACTATTTTCAATGCATAAATCGGTTTATACTAATGGAAACGATCAAATTTTAAGTTCATTAATATAGATATACTAAGCTGCAGTGGAAACACTGCAGTGTAAATGTTAATGTTATTAATAACATGATATGTTAATAATTAACAATATATATCACAAAACATATGTTATCTATACACAAGAGTTACTTTTCTCTTTTACAGTTGTGTTTACTTAGAACCCAACACCAGAAAGAGAAAACGGACTTTTCAAAAATATTAAGTGTTAAATAAACTATGTTTAGGTACAGTTTAACTAAGATAAGGCGTCCCTCCTTTGTTAGACAGAGCAGAAGACAATACTGCGACATGAGCTCCTATCTCTGTCCAAATCTCACGAAATCTTCGTTCGAAGAGCTGTGAGCCTTCTGTTTGGTTCGAATGGGTTGCTACAACAAGGGATGTGTCGCGGTCATATTACTACAGTCCTTTTAAAGTTAAAATCCTGTTAATTTCTATTATTATTCTGTCTATTTGTTTTTTTATGTAATTATTTATAAAATACTATATCGCTAATCGCTATTACTAATTTAAATATAAAAGTGTATGTGGAAGTTATATATAAACTTTCATAAAATTGATTTTATTTATAGTAATTAAATAATAATATAAATCGATCTGTATATTAATACAATAAATAAATTAATTAAAATAACATGAAGCCCAATATAAAGAATTTAACTCACTTTTTGTACTCTTCTATACGCTGCTGAATAAGACCAAAAAGAAGATCAAAATTTTGACCTGTGATTGATGATACAGAAGCAACCTTTGATTTTTTAATAACAAATTTAAGAGCATCATATGTTGAATTTGGAGACCTGGCATAATCTTGATCAGCTTCAAAGTCCTTGCGAAAAGTACAATAGTTTCGAACCCAACGTGATATACGATCATCTTTTCTTAAGTCAATCTATAAAAAATAAAATCGCTTTATTATCTGATTGAATATATTCGATAAGAAAAAGCAAGACTTACCTTATTTAATACCATTATGAATGGCAGATCTATTTTGGTGATCATCAAACTAATATTTGAAATATTCATTAAGAATTCTTTCGGATAGGTGTTTTCCGAAGAATCTATTAAGACTACCACTGCGGTAGGATAGAAATGTGACAGTAAGTAAAAAATCATTGCGCTTGAAGAATACATATTAAATACATCAAAAAAACCTGACCATTCTATGAGGCACCATTGATATCCACTCTTTCCAAGACGTTTTATGGACTGCATAACACTTGGAAATTCAGTTATAATTTTCAATATAGCGAAATTATTTGCATCCAAGTCAGAGATCTTATATATCATTTGTATATCTTCAAAGCAAACAAATTTTCGTGTATCAATTTCACAATTTTTCGGTATAGTCACGGCAGCTGGGTTCATATTTATTGTGAAGCATTTGGAGTCTTTAAGCACCGATTCCATCAAAGTATTTATGAATTTAGTTTTACCACTTTTTGGTTCACCAAAAATGGAGACGCAAAATGGTACCTTCTTTAGGTTACTGACTTGTTTACTTGATGAACTTAATTTGTTCGATATCGAAGTAATAGTTTTCGTTATATCATCCATTTTTAAAATTAATTTTTTTTATTAAATTTCTAGAAAATTTAAATACAACACAAGCTTATTAAATTAGTTGCAAATTTGAGGCATAGAAATAAAGGATGTTTAATCAGCTTCCTACTTTAAGGAACTATATACATATATTGTTAAAGACAGAAGAGGTCTTATTCTTAAAACTAATCGAAATGTGTGAATACAATAGTTCGTTCATGGAAGCAGTGTCACGAACAGCTAATGTTAGAGCATTCCAAATAATATTCTTATGGTGCTAAAGTAAATACTCCTAAAACTTACAGTCCAAAAACTAGATATGGACAATTTATCCAATAAATGTTTCCAAAAAACTATTGAAGATAGATTTTTGGCGATATCCCACACAATTGCTCGATCAGTCAAAGAATAATTCTTTACTCATTGGGATATATTTCAAATTAAGAAAAATATTAATATTTCTTAATAATAGAGAACGAATATTGTATCGTCAGTTGCATTTAAGAATTTAATCACTATTACTAGCCTATTCTAATTTAAATAGATTTTTTGCCATGGGACACACAACTCTATATTGAAAATACTTTCCTACATTAATCTTAGCATCCTCAATATCACAAACTTGACAGATCTGGATAGTTTATATATAATTTAAAATAATTTAAAATTCATATGAAAATCGTGTGTATGTATAATAGTACATATAGTACATAGTACATATTTAAATTAGTCCAAACTAGTCCAAACTATTTCAAAAATATATTTTTTTCTAACTTAGAACTCAACATAAACTTCAAAATACTACTTGAGATCGCTAGTTGTCATAACCTACTGATTTATTAGTATATTTATTTGGTAGCCTCATTAGTCTACTGATGAATTGCAACTGTAATCATTGCCACATAGGTCTGGCTTCGAATCCCGATAAGAGCAAATTAATTTTGGTTCAACTAATTTACTTGTTATATACAATAGATTCATCTAAGATCATCTTGATAGAGCAATGGACTTTTTTCGCCACTATGTGCTTTATTTGTTAATGTCCGTAATTACATAAATCTATTGTATGCATTCATTATGTTCGAATAAAATATAAGAATTTTGACAGATTTGTTAGTCTAAAATGAGCTAGACTAGAAGTTAGAATAATTAGTGGTTTTTAAAATGCATATTTTCATATTAGCTTTTACCTTTTAAAGATGAAATTAAAGGAGACTGCATATTCTATAAAACGCTGTGTCAAAGGTTTATCTTACTTATCTACCGAAATAGGTTTGCATCTCAATATAGTAAAAGAAGTCTGGGATCTTGAACTAAAAATTATTATGTGGTTTATTCATAACATGGGTTTGTTCAAGTTTTTCTCAGTAGACTATATCCAGTCTCAGTAAACTAGATCTAATACAAAGCGGTATATTATAGCTTATTATAATGGTAATGGTAATGGTGATTTTCTAATATTATTAGTTTGTGATTTTGAGATATTACTTCCACGAGACCCAGAATAATAAGCGTATTGGTTATGAAAAACTGGATGAGCATAAATTCTGTTATGAGATTTGATTTGATTAAAAATAATCAAACAATAGGATTCTGTCTTCAACTATTCAACACAGTGATTGACGATCAATCCTTATTAGGACATAAATTATTTGCAAAATTGAGTAGAAGGCATCCAAGTTCAATGAGTGAAAGCAGAGTATACAATTATGAAATATGAAATCACAACAGGTATAGGTTTATCAGCAATTAAAATTGAATAAAGACCAACTGGTGGTTGCTAAGTATATAATATTTGAATATGAGTAATGCCATCGATATGAGCTATACATGAATTGTTAGCAAAAGAAGTAATCGTTGGTAATAATTTGAACACAATTTTATTAAGTTATTTGTATAAAAAAATCAGTTAATATTAAGTATGAAGATATGCTTATATATATATTAACTGATCTCATTAAAATAGAAATCAATAAATAAATTCAGTGCTATAATCATAGCATACACCTGTTGCACTTTACACTGAGCTTTTAGGTGAGGATCATTGAGTTTTTCGCGCTTAGTATTTTCTAATACAGATGAAAAATAATTAGTGAAAAAATTAGTGATAATTAGTGATAATTTTTAAATTTTCAGAGTTAATTAAATTCACAAAAAAATTGAGATACCATTGCTCTGATTTGCCGTACATACTTACCTTTAAACAACTTCTTTCCAAAAGTTTATGTTAGATTTCGTAAAGATATATACTTCACTCCATTGACTATGCTTTAATGTATATTTCCACGTTAAAATAAACAAAAACTAATTGTAAACAAAATCTTTAAATTGAATTAGGCACTAATTTTTTTTTTTAGGTTGCTCCTTCACAACTCTTCTATTCTACGCTTAAAAAAGTACTGAGTATAGAAAGAGCTGTGCATAAAGCAATGTCTTACCAAGCTCCACTATTTTATATGCTCACTCCTCTAATACGTTCTTAAAAACATTCCTATTGTGTTAGTTGGAATCAGTTTACTGCATCGTCAGTACATTTTCATTGCCTGTGTTACGAATACAGATGTATTTGTCTGGAACTTGGGTTGGTTGATTGTCATATCATATCTATATGCAATAATATAAACAAAAACACAAGTGTCAATTGTTTTCTTTATATAAATTCTATAAACTAAGTGGACAGTTTCGCTTTATATGTACTTGTATATATATACATAAAACGATTGTCCCGTCTATGTAATAACGAAATCACTTCAATTGCTGACTAAGAACATTTCGCCACACATATTATTTATTGTCTTCAATCAGTTGTCAGTATTATGGAGCATTGCTGAAAATCGATGAGTCAACGTTTTTATAGTCAAAGTTGATAAAAACCCACCCCTAAACTTTTTTAAGTATTTTAATCTCATAATTTACTAATTAACTATCCTTAATTAGTTTATTTTTTTATTTCTGCATATGGTTATTTCTTTCATCAATTGTATAGTTTTTGAACTTATCAACTCCGATTTAGATGAAATTTTTTTAGTAAACCTTTCCAATGAAACAAGTAACTGTATTTCAGAAAAAAATTTTTAAAAATTTGTATCATATATATATAAAATATGGGCCTAATAGTACATTCACACTGCCTCATTTAGGCATTTACACATTTTAATTAAAGAGAAAACGTTCACATTATAATGAGCTAATTTAAGCAGCTGATAGAACTTTTATAAACTTTAATATAATAATATATCACACAAAAAAAAGAAATATATAATTGATATATTAAATTATTTATTTACATTTTATATATCAATTACATATTTAATTAATAAAAACAAAGATTTTGCGTTCGACAATTTCCGGCTTAAATGAGCTGATTTATTGATAATGAGCTCCTTTACCTATATAAAGGATGTTTGTATGGTAAATCATCCTCATTAGTGGTTATAATGTACAAAACCACCTAAATGAGACAGTGTGAATGTGCTAAAAGCTATGATAATTAAAAAATACGCACCCTTCAATTTTATAAAAGAAACTCATAAAAAAATGTCAGCTAAATCAGAGTAGATGAAGTCAATTTTTTACCAAAAACGTTCCTGTTTGCAAACGAAAGACCCACCCATATATTTTATTACATCTTTTACATAAATATTATATATTTCCTATTGTATATGTAAAGCATAACAATATATATAACAGTCCCCTTATTCGAATTATTCCATAACTCGAACTCTTATGTACGAACTTTGAATTTTCAGCAATTCTTCCTTGTATTTTTTTCTCCATAAGTTGAATTCGAATAATACCGGAACTCAAAGTAAAAATTCACATAGTCTTTTACCACTTCCTTTTAAATCTATCTTCACAGTTCGAATTTTTGGTTTTGCCTTTATATTTTCAAAAAATTTTGTGAGTTACTTTTCTGACTTGCACGACATTATTGGATTCTAACTTTCGGCGACATTTCGATGGCTAGCAACTGCTATTATTATCGCAAATTTCCTCAATGAGATGATAGAGATGTGCTTATTGCCTATGAAGAAGTAGCCGTTTAAGCACTAACATGGGTAAAACAAATTTAAAACGTTTTGACAATCATGGAAAAAATTGATTTAATTATTGAAGTAGATAAAGGTGTTAAAAAGACAGAAAGATATAGCAGAAAAATATGGAACTCCTTGTACCACCTCATCTATGATTTTAAAAAATAAGGACAACTTCGAAGGAAAGTTCTCTAATAATAAACGTAAACGGGTTACAATATGTAAATATGATGACGTGGACGAAGCTATGTTATAGTGAATAATTACTGCAAGTATAAAAAAATCTATATCTGTCGGGTAGTACTATTAGAGATACTACCCAAATAAAGATATAGTATACTATATTGTAATATATTGAATAATGTCATGACTCATTGTCTTAAAGCTATTCTTTGATATAGATTATGTTGTATCGGCGATCCAAAGGGTTCCACTTAGACCTATTATCACCACATTAAACTTTTGGCAAAACTTAAGTTGCTATCTAATGTGAGGTCTTGCTATTCATCAAGATCCACATAAAAAGTTTTCAATGTTTGATTTAGACTACTTATAGACTACTTATTTCAATAAAACTCATGTCACCATTACGCCTTGTCAAGTCATTTGATATATGGTTCCAAAAACCGGCCGGGTCTACGTCCCGAGGCCACTTGTCAATTTCATCGACCAAGTGCCGTTCACCAGCCTTAAAGGGACATTTTGCAAGCACATCTCTGCGAGCTACCACAACAAGAACATACAGTATATATCCATATCCATTTCGCAAAAGATAGAAGATAAGATATAAATAAATAATCTTAATAATAAATTTCAGTTATAAAAGAAAAATTATAAAATAGATAGGTATTTAGGATCTTTGGTAACAAGCATGGGAATAGAGTAATATAGTGACACTGCAAAGCAAGAAAAAAGAAATCCATTTAGCACGGTTCCGATTCGCCAAACACACCCATTTGATAGTCGATTTTAATAAAGACTAAACATTAAAGATTTACAAAAGATTGTAATAGAGAGATATAGAACAGTTGTGAATGACAACAACAAAGTCTTTTATCTATGTTTAATTAATTGAATTCTTGACTGCCCATATAGTTGATTCCAGTTTTTTCAAATACCTCTAACCTTTGCTAAAAAGTAATAACTATCGAGTAGCCTTGATAACTCGACAAGTACGCTTAAACGGCACATAGCGCAGCTCAAAATAGCTGGCTCTCCTAGATTGCTTGATCTAGGAGAGCTTCATAATAATTATATTGAATATATATATGGTATATTTTGTTAATACAAATTTATATAAATTAAAAAAAAAAATAATAATAATAGTAGTAGAATTGCACTGATAGAAGGCCAAATATTTGAATAGAAAGAATAAATCTATTATTTCAAAAAACAAAATTCAATTTTTTTTTAAATTAAAAACAATTATATTACATTAGTTTATATATATTCATATATATTGCGTGTGCATATATTTTTCTAACAATAATTACTCGTAAAATGCATAGTACATTTGTGGCACATTAAACAACTACACTAAATATTTGAATTACAAAAATATTACATGATCAAATATAGTCTTTTAGTATTATAATAGTAAGTATAAATATTATTTTAAAAATCATTTAACATTACTTCAGTACGCTGAAGTACTCCACTTCACTTCAATTAATTACAACAAAAATGCGACCACTAATGTTATCAAAGAAGTCAGCATGGCATAATTTCCAACACTGGCACTGCCACCGGTCGACTGATAAAGCTGAGAAGAGAGCATTGATTGTGTGCTACGTTTTGTGACAAAATATTCACCAGGCAATTTCATGATATCTGGTACTTGCGATGGATACAAAGGAGCCAACGGCACAGAGCCCTCTGGTACATTTATCGGGGTTAGTGGGTTCCATGGTGCTAGTGGTGCTGAACCTTCAACATTGGGCGAAATAGCTGCTTGTGTAGCTGCGACCATAGGTTGCAGTGCAACTGGAGCTGCAGTAACTGGCGCAGTTGTTGTTGTCAAGTTGGTAGTTGTTGTTGTGTCCGTAGTTGCATTCGTAGCGGCTGCTGTTGCAGTTTCTGGTGGTGGTGCTGGATAGCAAGCGATTTGTTCTACTTCAATTGTTTTCGTGCTATCTTTAGGATCTGGTTGAGGTACAAGTACAGGTACACAAATTATGCCACCAGCTGGAGGTTGTTCGGGTGCTGCTGCCGCTGCTGCTGGATCAACTGCAGGTGCTACTGCCGCTGCTGCTGGACCAACTGCAGGAGCTGCAGGTGCATTAGCAGCAGGTGGAGCTGCAGCTGCATTAGTATTAGCGGTCATTAAAACAGGTGCAATGGCTGCTTCCATATTGCCGTTATTTGGTAAAGGTTCTAATGGTGCTAAGGGTGCAGCTGGTTGACTTGGAGCTGCGCCAGCTACAGGTGCTACTGCTGCTGGTGCAGCGGCAGGGGCAGGAGCATATTGTACAGGTGGTTGTTGTTGTGCAAAAACTGGAGTTTGAGGAGCGGCAGCTGGTGCTGCGCCACCGGTATTAATGATTGTTGTACCTGAACCAGCATCAGTAACAGTAGGCTGACCTGGCCCATTATTAATTATAATAATTTTGTCGTCATTGTTAGTAGAACCACTACTTGGTGCGGATTGTACGTGCTCAACAACACGAGTATGCGTTGGCGTCAATGCATGACCAAGTAACGCGCCACCGAGCGCACCAGCTGCTAAACCTGAACCTAAAAGTGTAATATAAATAAAATTTAATTATAAATGGAGAAAAATTGGTTTCTATTTGAAAACCTACCGAAACCAAGGCCGGATGATGACGATCTTGGCGGTTGTGGATAGTATGTTGCACCCGGTGGTAAAGCTGAACCCGCTGCCAAAAATGTGGCACCAGCTGGCATTGCTTGCACTGGATATGAAGGAGCATGTCCAGCTGGATAATATGTAGCGCCGGCTGGTATACCGCCTGCAGGATGATATGTAGCACCAGCGGGGAATGAACCTGCTGGATGATAAGTAGCGCCAGCTGGTAACGCACCGGCGGGATGATAAGTAGCACCGGCTGGATATGCACCAGCGGGGTGATAAGTAGCACCGGCTGGTAGGGCGCCTGCTGGATGATAAGTAGCACCGGCTGGTAGGGCGCCTGCTGGATGATAAGAAGCTCCGGCTGGTAATGAACCTGCTGGATGATATGTAGCACCAGCTGGTAGTGAACCAGATGGGTGATATGTAGCACCGGGATAACTAGATTGTACAGTTTGTTGATTTACTGGTCTGATGGGTGTATGAGAAACAGCACCAAATCCACCGGTTGTATTTGTGCGTGGTTGATAAGTTTGAGCGGGTTTATAGCCACCAGTGGAGTTGGTGCGAGGACGATAAGCGGTACCACTACTACTATGGCTACCAGTATAATGGCTACCAGAGGCGGCACCTACACCGGCTCCATAAGCTGTTCCTGTATTAGTACGCGATGGCGGTGCTTGATTTAGTGGTGGCGCACTGGCTTTGTATTGTGGTGGTGGCTCATGTATATTAGTTTTGGCACCACCGACTGGATTCGTTGCTGAGTAAGCAGGTGGTGGACCTACTGGTTTATTAGCTTGCGGTACATTCCAACCAATTGGTGGAGCACTTTGTGCTGGTCTGGATTGAGAAGTTTGATGGTTTACACCGCTGCTTGGCCGGGAGTTGTAATTGTTTCCATAACTTAATTTGATCAAATCCGAATGACTATAAGATGGTTTCGAAGCTTGACCAAAAGAGCTGCCTGATGAATGAGATGATGAAGAATGAGATGGTGCAGAATAAGATGGAGAAGAATGAGATGTACGGCGTATACTGCTGCTGGAACCAGATGATTTGCGACTACCGCTGCTGCCAAAACGACGAGCTTCAACAGAACATACTGCCAACAGCAGTAAAACCCACACAGCGGTGAAATTCAGAACACTTAACTTTTTTGCGTTCATTTGTAAACTGAAATGATAAAAAAGCAAAATATGTACAGCTCAATTAGTATTGATTATATAAATAAATATAATATTTTATATGAATATTTTTCATTATTTATCGAATTGTCTGTAATGGCCATTCGAAGTACAATTAGGCTGCGAATAAATTTTACCGTGGATGCAAAACGTGTATACTTTAATGAAATAAATTTTACTACTAAAACAATAAACGAAATCGTAGCTCAGTGGTGTACGTCTCAGATTTTATATGACTCGTTTCCTGTAAACAAATCATTTCAATTGAAAACCAGCTAGAATTGTTAATTATATGAATTGCATTATAGTTTAAGCCGAATTTGCTGATTCACAAACTCAACTGAGGGCAACTGAACAAGTTTTAGTCTTATATATACTTTTAGTGTAAATTATAGAACAAATGGTATGTATTTTATATACAACTATAGGGAATTATATAAATCAGTATCTCTTTATATTTCTTTAAAAACAAATTCAAACACATGACATTATAAACGAAATAGCTCTAGATTTTATTATTTATCAAATTACGTTCTTTTGAATAACGATTTGCTTTAACCGGTTAGGATTGTCAGTATCGTCGGGGTCCGATGACAAGAGCTATCAATATGCAGAAGAAAGCAACTGTTTTGAAACTTTTCTGTATAAAAATTTATAACATTCACGAGCTGCAAATTTATTCAAAATAATTTTGTATAATTTAATCAGACTCACGATCAGTCTCAGTCTCACTGTATTTATAGATAATTACAATCAATTGAATTAAAATGAAACAATATCTTAACCAAGTTAAATCTTTTGTTAATTTATTTCTAAATTAACTAGCGATTTGGGATTTAATAACATAACATGTGATAATTGTACGTTGACACAATATAAGTACAAGACTAACCCAGCGTGTAACATAAACCTATTTTGATTAATCTATATTCACTGCAACATTGACACTCTGTAATTAATAAATTTTTTAGTTTAGTTAGCACAGTTAAATAAATAAATAAATAAATAAACATCGAGTTTAGACATGCAAACTGAAATCAATAGCTTCTCATTACCGCCATTAAGCTAACACTCTACAATCCGGCAGCGTTAATCGACTCAATAATCGACAATAATGGAGAAAGAATTACCACAGATGTGGTGAGCGAAACATCCAAGTTATTGTAAAATATACTTAAAGTGAAAACCTCAATATCTCGAGAATAAATTATATCGGCATATAACATAATGGTAAAAATTACTCGAAATAACTAAAACCGGAATCGCTTTGTTGGGTATACTCAAGCAGTGTGTGGCAATAAATTCTTTTTTTGAATTTTACAATGGTGTTGCGTTAAGCTCAAATCTGCAATCCATTTTAGTTATCTGGTCTCTGACAACAATGAGTTACAGTTCAAAAATTTGAGTTTTTATAGGATTTATATAAAAAGTTTATTTTAAGAGATACGAATTTTGTGCTACGTATAAATAGACAGACTTTTTCGCTTTAATGATTCTTTTCCGAATACATTCCCATCCTTTTCTGGCCCCAGGCACGTTATTTTTAACTATAGTTATTCAAACGTAGGTGATAATACAATATATTCGTGAAAGCGAATATAGCAAGAACGATAGAAAAAAAAAACAATATCTATCGAATTTATGTCTAATTTACGATCTTTTTCAAAGACTTCAGAGTAACCATCGTACTTACGATAGTTTGGATGGATGGAATTGTGGCGCATATACAAAATATTTGTAAAAAAAAAAAAAACGAAAAATATTTCCTTATGAAAATTCCATGAAGAAAAAGATATGTTATTTCTTCCAGGTTAAGAGACTTCAACTGTTTTAATACCGGGTACTATAGCTACATCTGTTAGAAAGCTTCTTTTTATATTAGTAATAAATTTAATTAGTTTTTTGTAACTCAAAAATTTAAAACAAATATTTTCGTATTTTTATTTTTAAATAATTTAAATAAAGTTAAAAAATAAAATAGATATAATCAACTATACTTATTGATGAAATAATTAACAATCAATCGATTAATTAATTAATTGTTAATTAACAAACAACAATTAATCATTGTTGAAATGTTGAAATGTTGCAATCTTAAAAGTATCTTTAATCTGTAAGATATTTTATGCATAGAAATTTATACACAAAGTATCTGAGCTTTGATGATTGCTGTGTGTAGTGTGTAGAGTGGTGTATTATATAGGTAGGTACTATATCATTTACAAAAAGCAAACCGGTAGTTATATACATTTATTCATAAATAAATATATAAACTGTTTTATGAGGAATAACTTTATTTAAGTAATGCATCAAAGGTTTAATGTATTTTTGATTAAGTGTTTATCTATTTTTAGCTGTGAAAGATATAAGAAATATAGTTGATTTTGTGTACGCACATGTAAATATATCTATGTAAAATATACTACATATATTAATAGATACAGACATTTTGAAAAATTTTAACTTTATTGTAGTTTATTCAGATTTAAATCTTAATTGTGAGCAGTTTCAGCTTCGGTTTTATAGTTGACTGCATTTATTATAAAAAATTATATGTAAATTGCAGATAAAATGTGTATTAATGGATTTGATTATTTGAATAAAAATTAAATTATATATAATAATTTTTGTTTAATTAATTAAATTCACAGTCTCAAATATCAATATGTAGAATTTAAATATAAAAAAATGGAAAGACTTTCAAAAATTCAAAAGTTCAGGGTTATCACAATTTCTAAAAATGTTGCAAAAATTAAGTAAAATATTTAAGAGGGAATTTTAAATGGCATATACAAGTTTGTTATTATTAATAAATATTTATTTATTTAAATAAAAATTTCTTTCTTTTTCAAAAATGCAACGGCGTTGTACAAAATATCTAATATCTTGAAAAATTTTGTGTTTATAAAAAATATCTGTTTTCCACATGTTTTTCATTTTAATTTTCATTTTCATTTTAACATAAACAATATATTGTATCATGACTAATAAGTATATCTATATATATAGACATATATATATATTTATATATATATGTATTGTTTGGTATTAAAAGAAAAAAAAATTGACTTGATATATAGAGACTTCAATATGTTTATATACGCATTTATATTTAGAAAATTCAAATCTATTGTTTTTATTCTGAAAATGCATATACATTTTATTGAAATTTTGAATATATTGTTTGCTAATTTTTTGTTCTTCTATATATAAGTATTTATATGCTTTAATTGTATGGAGAAATTCGGTTGCAAATAACAAGTCAAACAATTTTTTTCTAAATAATTTTCTAATGCGCATTTTTTATTTTTAATTTCTGGATACTTAAAACAATAAAACAACATTAATACTTATTCATTAAACTTTATTTTAGTGCAATTTCGTAAAAGTATTTAGCACCTATAATCTAGAACAACTAATATAAAAATTTAGCAGATATTAGTTAAAAATTCTTTCACGTCTTTTGCTAGAATCATCGCCAGATCAGTGCAATTTTTTCAATGGTTCACTTTACTATGGTTAGGGAAGAGGAAGAGAGTGTTTCTAGTCTTATAAAGGAAAAACTGTTAGAATTGGTTTTATCGCAAATAAAACCAATTCTAGTAGTTGCCTTGTAATTGAAATTTTATCAATTTCTATTGATCGCCAATTGAATCAAATAGAATCATTTAGACCAACATAACATAGGTCTTTTTGCTAACAGTCAGAAAAGTCCATGAAGAACTAAAGATCTCAGCGAACATATACAATGATCTTATCAACAAACACGGGAAGCAATGACAATGCCATGTACTAAAAATTGAGCTGGTCTTGGTTCTATGAATGTTTGTGAAAAATAAAAATGGAACGTAATGAATGACATAACTTAACATAATTAAACCTGGTCACAATGTGGGGTTCATTTCCCAGTAAAAAATGGAACGTAATTAACAAAATTGAGTTGGTGGAGTGGGATGCAGTTGATTCTATGTGAAATACTTAGACAAAGTAAATGAATAATGCAATTAATGAAATTAAGTTGGATCGGGAATAGTGTGGTATGTATATATAAAATAAATATGGAACGTATTTAACTAAAAAAGTCATATAAAAAAATACCTTATAAAAACTACAAAAAGGCGAATAGTAAGTTCTTATTTTAGGAAATGAAAAAAAAATCATGTCGGTTACCTACTCTTTATGTTAACCTATTTAACATAGAATTCAGGTATCTTTTATTGAAATATCAATCTTAAAAGTTTTATTTCAAATGATAAATTTTTTTGGTATACAAATTAATTATGCATATCAATGCCAATAGATACAGCACATGCCTCGGCAGATTATCGTACAAAATTGTATATTTTTATTCAAGTAGTTCCAATCAAGAATCTGGCAGAAATAAAAATATAACTAGAGAAAAGATATAATAAAATAAAAATACAAAATTTTAGCCAAAATGCATAAATAATTAAAAATACTAAAAATAATAAAAATAAAAGAGAATCGTAATGAAATAAAATACTATTGATTGCTTAGTTTTTTACGAGTTGATAGTTGAATAAACTCTGTCTCTTTGGTGTAAAGTTTAGTTATTTACATATTTTCAAAAAAAAATAAAAAAAAAAAATGAAATAAGAAAAAAAAAATGAAATAAAAAAAAAAAATGAAATAACATAAAATAAAAAACAGAGAATAAAAACAAATATAATGCCAAACTCTAGCGTTTAACATCTGAACAGATATTTTGGCATCATATGGGGTTAGACAGTAAGATTACCTGTGGTCTCTGGTAATAAATATATATTCTACTATTTTCTTTTTTTCATTTTGGACAGAATTAAATTGTCTTAGAGAGGTACATATGATAAATATACTAGATTGGGCAGCGCTCAGTAACGACATTTTCGTATAGTCGTTTACCACTCGCTCTTCTTGTAATAATGACCATTATAAATAATTATAAATAGTTCTACTATAATCATATGTGATGATTCTTGAGACTTAAAA